CAGAGCAGAACAGCAGCATATGGACAGCTGCCCCAAGTCACACACGCTCTGGGATGATGCCGTGTGATGTGCCACCGAGGCTGAATGAGGCAACAGCCATTCACGGGAGCAGCTAGGGGGCAAGGAAAACAACAGAGCATAAGCCACCCCAACTCTCATACATGAGACAGGACAGGAGGAGAGATTCTTCTTTGGCTTCTGCACCCCCATACCCAGTTCCCTGTAGAAACACGGGCTCAGTCTCCCCTCCCTTACACTGGTCTCTATCACTCGACCCAAGCGAGGACTTCAGCAATTTCCTGCAGAACAGGCCCGGAACGGAACTAACCCCTTTCACTTTTTAGCCTCTCCACCATCCCTCACTGCTCCCCAGGGGGAAAAAAACGCTTGCACCCACAATTGCAGGCACACTGAGGATCCCGACTGAGCTGATTTCCCAGAGTGGCTCCAAGCAGCCAGCTGTTTTGCCCTCCCGGCGCTAGTTCTAACCCCCAAGGGCGCCACTGGGTTTGAGTGGGAAGGTCTGTACCCAGAGCATGCTGCGTCCAGTGCAGCACACCATAGTAAAGCATGGGACAAGCATGGCACAGGCATGCAGATCATCAAGCCATTGAAACCCGCCTGCCTGAGGGCTCAGCTGAACACTCCGGCCCCATGGAGAGTGCTAGGAAACGCATTTAAGTCCCCGGAGAGACATTAGATGACTTTGTCCACGGGCTCATTTGTCCGTTCAAAGACTGGCGCAAGGAAGTGTGGTCCAGGGTTGAGGGGGCTAGTCTAGGACACCTGGGTTCAATCCTTGGCTCAGCCACTGACTTCCTGTGTGACCTGGGACATATCATTTAATCGACCCCATGGCTCATTTCCCCACCTGTAAAATGGGGAGAGGACCGTACCTCCCTGGAGAGGGTAGAGAGGCTAGAAACTATAAGGACCGTGAGGCACTCAGATACCGTGGTGCTTAGCGCAATGTACGTACCCAGAGAGAATACCTGTTATGGCTGTGAAGTCCTGAGTGGCCACTGGTGTGTAGCATCGTGATCAATACAAGGTTATTCAGAGGTCCCAAGGCCAGAAAGGACCATTGTAATCCGCTAGTCGGACCCCCTGCAGAGCGTAGGCCAGAGACCTGCCCCACCATAATTCCCAGAGCAGGGAATTTAGCAAAACATCCAACCTTGATTTACAAAATGGTGAGCGATGGAGAATCCTCCATGCTCCTTGGTTAATTGCTCCAGTGGTTAGTTCCCCTCACTCCTCTGTTCTTCTCCACCTTGGGTAAGTGGGTAATTCAAGTGCTGCTGAACCCCTTGGTATTGACGCAGATGCAACATGTAATTCCAGGTCGCTACTGCCTTGCAGAGTAATGAAGATCCTTTCCAAGGTGACCACTCCCTGAGACTACTTTTCATTTGCACCTCGCACTTCAGGGTCTGCTAGCTACCAGGCAGGCTCCAACCCAGGCAAACTGAACTGCAGTGTGCATAGGAGAGGGGGGAAGACTGTGGGGACTGGTCCTCCTGCCAGGCCGGCATCTTCCCAAAAGAGTGCGGCAGGGCTAATCCGGGGTGCCGTTTATCACAATTCATACAGAAGCTCCTCTCCCACACACAGGCAGATGCAGGAGAGGTGGAAGCACCTGTAATTGGGACCAATTTAAAATTCATTCCAGGTAATGAAACAAATGATCCCCAGACGGATGGATTTGCAGCTCCCCCTTTCCTTGACCTATTGCTGTTTGGCTTAGACAGCTCAACGTGGTCTTATCAGCAGATCAACTTGCAGCTGCGGCGCTCTGCCAGCCTCCCTTGTTCCAGAGCACTGGGTAATATATATATATTTTTTTTAATATTTATGGGCCAGATCACATGCCTTATGAAGCCAGACCTAAATCATTCCTCCACCCGCCCGCACCTCCAAGATCCTGTGGAATGTGCCTGCCATTAAACACACAATTAGCCTGCATTTACAAATCTGCAAAAGGCTCTGGCCAGCCATTCATCGCTCACCAGTGGGGATTTTAATCCTCCCACCAGATGAGTCCATCTTGTTCACCGTCTAATTAGCCACAGGCAAGCCAATTCCATCGGAACCGGCTGCAGGGCCACGAGCCACCACAGTACTACAGCCTCGTCCTTGGAGAGAGGGAGACGGGCTGGGGTCTTTGGACCTGACCGAAGTCGAGCTCCCTTTGCAACAAGAAAACGTCTGAGTCCTGCCAGCTCTGGGACACAGGCAGGCCAGCTGCTGCGTGCCCTCAATTTCCCTTGACCTTGGTGAGAGGTCCTGCTGATGCTGCAGGGGCCGAAGTGGGAAGACGGGGACATCCCTCCCCTCCTTAGAGCCCCGCAGACCCAGAACTGTGCAGAGGAGAACACGCTTCTTGAGGGCAGCGAGAGCCACACGGCATCCCCTCTCCCCCAGCCACGTGGCCTTTGGGAGGGAGAAGCCAGCCCACGGGCAGGTCAAGCCAGAACTGTGGGACGCTGCTGATGTCAGCAGATTGTTTCCCGACGTTTGCACCCTGAGTGTTCCACCCTCTGTGCCGATTGACTGCTTGCCTCAACCCTCACCCAGGCCCCACCTTCCACCTAGCCAATTCCCGGCTAGCGTAACCCCATGGAGAGGATTTCAATCACAAAACAAATGCGGAACTGACATGCCATTTGCCCCCATCGTAAATTGGTTCCTCTGCTCGTGCGGCAGACCCCTCCCCTCCATCTTTTGTCTATTTACATTGCAAGCTCTTTGGAGCAGGGACTGTCTCTTGCTTTATGGGCTGTCCAGCACCTTGCACAATGGGGCCTGATTCTGCACTGCCATAATCCACAGATAAAGCCCCCCAACACCTGGCGAGCCTGGAGCTTTCAGACCCTGCTCTTGCAAGCTGCTGGGCAGCGCCAACGCCAAGGAGTTGGTCGAATGCGGCCAGCTGACGTCAACAGGAGCTGACCACACTCAGCACCCTTTGCGGGAGGTGCTCTGCTCCTGGCAGGATCGGATCCCAGTCTCTCTGGTTGGCATACATGTTCTGCACGCATCCCACTTCTCCCACTAAATGAGCATGCAGCCAACAGGTTAGAAGAATACCAGCCCAGCAGGGATTAACAGAAAGGCCCAGATGGAATGTGTCCAATGCTGACGCAGGCCTCGGGAATGATACCACCTTGGAGGGAATCACTCCACAACCATGGCTGGATTTGTGCTTTGATGCTGTACGACTGCACCAGGAAAGGGATAGGATCAAAACAGATCGGGGTGCGTCGGGTATCCTGGATGGAGAGCCAGGAGCACCACTGCTCAGAACCACCACTAACCCAGGCCCCTCTCCCTGCTGCCTGGCTCGGGTGATTCTAAAAGCAACGTGACAGAGCCGGATTCGTACTCCTCCACTGCTGAGCATCAGTGAGTGCCAGGGGATGTATCATTCAGCAAAGCCAAGGAGAGAACAAGCAGTGTTTAACCATTAGCATGCGTGTAAGGAGACCCTTAATAAACTATTTTCCCTCGTTCCTGTCTGCCTTGCTCCGGGCCACTAATCCAATTGAGCAGAGCTCTGCGCTTGTAACAAAGCTGTGATACATTTGTCAGATCCCTGACTAGACCCATGGCTAATTTTACAACACTAATTTATCTTAGCATATTAGATCGCTTTAATTTCGTCCTCCCGGATCCCATTACCACCGCCGTACCTTGTAGCCAATGTGTACCGGGAATTGCTGTTATTAGCAACGCACTCCACTGGAGATGCCCCGCAAATAACGGGAGCAACAAGCAATCCAGCCATCAGGCCAGCATGCACTGAATCAGAAAGGGAAGCAGGCCAGCCCGCCAGGAAAAGGAGGCGGCAGAAAGAGGAGGAAAAGGTGGCACCTGGACATAGACAAATGGGACGAAATAAAGGCCCAGGGTCAAACTCTACTTTTGGTGACGCTGGAGTAAATCTGGAGTGTCTCCGCCAGCAGCAAGGGGGGCCACGCTAATGTAAACATGGAGCCACTTTAATGCTTGCAACTGGGAAAGCCGGGGTGTAAATGCAGAGCGACTCCCCCGTGTTATGCAAACAATGGCAAGTCCAATTTGAAAAGTCATCCTGCCCTGCAGTCTAGGGACAGATACATATTTTTTAAATGCAGCCACCCAGAACTATTAACGACCTCACTGCTTCTGACGGGGTTCCAAATTCAGTTCAAGGAGTTCTCCCCTGCGTTAGTCAGAACAGTCCCAAAACACCTCTGGGCAACCTCATTCTACCCGTCTAGACTGTGATGACCCGTTCCTGTGTCACTACACAACATCTGCACATGGTGACAACAGTCTTGGATCGCAACGCTGAGAAGGAGACAATTCGATCTAGGGAGAGAAGGGCCAGCTGCTCCCCACAACAGGCTGTGTCAGGGAGGCAGAAGGCAATTTCTTATGTGCTGAACACTGGCCAGAGCAGCCGGTGGAACCCGCCTGCCAAGGCTAGAGGTGATACTCAGCCAGCGAAAGCCATCAGGAGTTGGGCTTTTCATCAAAGATGGCGCAGCATCCCTTGCACTGGTTCGGGACTGACTGAGACACCTGCCTGTTTGAAATAAACAGAACAGGAAAGCAAAGTTGGAGAGTCTCCCAAAAAAATGCTGACCCTGCTCAGCTTAAGAACTAACGTTGACGCCGCTTATCCAAGAATCAAGCCCAAGACCTGCTGGCAGGAAACCTTCCTCCAGAGACCCCTTCCGTGGGCACTCTGAGATCTGCACTTTTGTGTGTCGCCCACCTGAAGCCGGATGTCTCTTCCCACGAAGCTAAATAACTCAACAAACGGCAAAAGCACGGTCTAAAAGCTCCAAATAAATAACAAGTCAGCACCTGCCTCCTTGGCAATCAGGAGGAGAGGCCTGGAGGTGCGGGACACGGCACACTAGATTCCGAGCTCCTGGACCGCTCAGTGATGCGCATTCTGGCAGCGATGCTCAAAGTGAAACAAATGGGTCTGTGACTAAACAACCTCTTACCTTTCCACCGGTCTGAATTCCCAGGGGCGTCCCCGATTTCTCATCAAATTCCTCAGGATTCCTCCACACGCTGCACTTGACCCTGGTGGGGTAGAACTGGGATTTCCTTTGAAAAGGAAAGAGAAAACTACTGTCAGAGATTGGCACTTCTACTTTGTCACCACCATTTTTCCAGGTGGGATTTCCCATGCTCACTCCTCTGGGTGGGGACCCGCTTCTGGCTGAGACTTGGTAGCTGATGGCCAGACCAGCTTGCGCAGCTCATCTAGGTAAAAAATAATTCTCATAGGATTGTTGCTGCCCCACCCCAAAATGTGTGTTAAATTTCATTAGTTCAACGTATACATAAAATGTACGCATACGACGACACATAAAAGGACTGCAGTGGGGGAGGTGTCCGTTTGCCCTGGCCTGGTCTTTGATCTGATTTAAAGAAATAATATGAACCAAACAGAACCAGCAACAACACCCCTCAGCCAGAATAAAAACGCCGAATGCAAAGAAATGACAAGCCACATCCCCCTTGGGTCTTATCATACCCAAGGCTCCCATCCTGCATGTGCTAAACTTTACGTGCCATGGTTACATCCCACGGACTTCAGCGGGACTGCTGAGAGCTTGGCCAGCCTGTGAGCACACGTACAACCACATGCCCATTTGCCAGAGAAGCACCTAAGATTGTAAACAGAGTCAGGACTGGTTCTTTGCTTCTCATTTGTACAGGACTTAGGGCAACGGGGTCCCAAATCCAAATCAGGGCCTTAAGTCATTAGGGTAACAAATGAGGAGCATAAAGGATAGCCCCAAACTTACTACTGGCATTACTACAGTTACTACCGTCACACAAGACAGTTTGGGTGAATATTCAGGCTCATTGGCTTTCCTTGGTGCTTTTTTAATGCTTTGCATTAGGGGATATTCTGTGCACAGCACATTTAGATGCTTTGCAGTAGGCCAGTGGCTTTCAACCTTTTTTCATTTGTGGACTGCGAAAATATTTTGACTGGAGGTGCAGACCCCTTTGGAAATCTTAGACATAGTTCGTGTTGAAAACCAGCAGAATAGGCATCTCTGCCTTGTTTTATCACCCACATCTCACACCGTCGGTGCTGCAAAAGGACTTTCCCGGGAGCAGCAGCAACTTTAGGAAACGTTCGTGTCCCATCTGCATTTAGGGGACAACCCCAAAGCCCTGGGAAATCGACAGAAGACTTTCTGTTGACTTCAACGGGCCATGGCAAGGGTTAAAAAGCCCAACCCCAAAGGCCTGTAAACGATAAATAAATAAGTGAAACCTCATTGGGCATCTGTGCGGCTGATTGAGAAACTCTCATTTGCAAAGCGCTGGGAAATAATTAAAAAGTTTTCCCGGAGCCTAAGGAGGGAAGCGGCCCGTTTGTCACGCCAGCAGCGCGTGGCACGCTGCAATTTATCACGCCTGTCAGGTATCAGGCGCTGAAATATTTAACTCCGTCAGCCCCGAGCCGAGCCTGCGCCGTGCCCCATCACTCACAGCAGACTCTGCCGGACATATGGGAGCCACTGATCAAGGGAACTGGCAATGATGGACGGAGATGACGGAGGGCTCCCCCGCCCTTTGCCAGCTCAGCTGAGAGGCTGGGACTGTTTTACAGCTCTGAATTGCAGATAAAATACACAGACAAGGCCAGGTTGGAACTGAATCACAGCACCAATTCGTCACCACATGTCAGAGAGCAGTTGGTGCTGCCCAGGGTGATGGCGGGAGGGAAATGCGAGAGAGATCATGGATGGATGAGGAAATTCTTAGTTGGTTCCTCAGATCCATCCACAAAGATGCAGCTCCCAAGGGGTAAGCAAGGAGCACATGACGCAGGACACTAAGGGGGAGCTTTAGCCAGGACCCTGACCAAGACAGACCCCTAGGGAGACACCCAGAGCCAGAAGAAGAAAGATATCAAGGTGTCATGTTAGAGCAGTGTGGTCCGGGGACAGGGCACTGGGCTGGGAGTCAAGGCAGCTGAGATCCATTCCTGGCTCTGCCACTCAGTGCCCTCGGCCTCAGTTTCCCCTCCTGCCCTCTGTCTCTCTTGTCTGGTTAGACTGTAAGGTCCCCAGGGCAAGGGCTGTCTCTCCCCAGGTGTGTATGTTGCACCCAGCACAATGTGGCTTAGATCTGAGCTGGGGCCTCTACCTGCCACTGTAATACAAAGAATTAACACTAACCAGGTATTACCTGGCTAAACCCCAGGGACACAGCAAGACGACAAGATAAACCCCAGGGAAGTTTCCATGAGCCAGAAGAGGGACAGATGCCTCTGGTTCAACCTGGATCTGGGGCAGGATAGATTCCTGGAGTGCAAGTGAGGAGATTGATTATTTACTGGGCACCCTCAACGCTCTTGGCCCCGTACAGTTATAAAGACAGTCCCTGGCTGCAGAGCTGACAAGTTTAGCTGGACCAGTCCCAACATCAGAATAAGATAGATGAGGATTAAGACAGTAGCCGGACCCACAGGGCACCAAGGACCAACCCAGGGAGTGCACACCCGGCGTTTAGAGCAGGCGTCTGTCCCTGGGTACAGAGGTGGAACACCCACCTCCCCTAGAGAGGGTCACTGCTGCCTCACCATGGGGCCACAGACTAGATCGGGGTGGGCAAACTTTTTGGCCCGAGGGCCACATCGGGATTGTGAAACTGTATGGAGGGCCGGGTAGGGAAGGCTGTGCCTCCCCCAACAGCCTGGCCCACGCCCCCTATCCGCCCCCTCTCACTTCCCGCACCCCTCAGAACCCCTGACCCATCCAACCCCCCCCGCTCCTTGTACCCTGACCACTCCCTCCCGGGACTCCCCTTCCCTAAAGCCCCCCTGGGACTCCACCCCCTATCCAACTCCCCCTGCTCCCTGTCCCCTGACTGCCCCGACCCCTATCCACAAACCTGCCCCCTGACAGGCCCCCCCGGGACTCCCATGCCTATCTAACCCCCCCTGTTCCCAGTGCCCTGACCGCCCCCGCAGAACCTCCGCCCCCTGTCCCCTGACTGCCCCCCGCCCCTGATCCAACCCCCCCGCTCCCCGCCCCCTTACCATGCTGCTCAGAGCAGCAGGAGCTCGCAGCCCCGCCGCCTGGCAGGAGTGGCCGACCAAAACACTGCCCCCGCGGTGCGCTGAGGCTGCGGGGGAGGGGCTGGGGGCTAGTGTCCCCGTCCGGGAGCTCAGGGGCCGGGCAGGACAGTCCCGCGGGCCTTAGTTTGCCCACCTCTGGACTCGATGACCTCTTGAGCGCTCTTCTTCCCCTCCATTGCTATAGTTGCAGGAAAAGAGGGAGGCCCATTGGCAAGTGACAAGACGGGGGAGAAGTTGCACTCAGGCTGTCCCGTGGATAAATAGAAGACTCCAGTCTCCAGGGACTGCCAAATCTAGGACCCTTCACCAGCAAGAAACCCACTTTTTGTGATTCTTGGGGGGAAACCAAGCACACACACCACCCCTGTATTGTGGCTATTTCCCTGGCAACAGGAAAGAAACCATAAGAATGGCCACACTGGATCAGACCAAAGGTCCACCTAGCCCAGTATCCTGTCTTTCGACAGTGACCAATACCAGGTGCCCCAGAGAGAATGAACAGAACAGGGAATCAAGTGATCCATCCCTGGTTGCCCATTCCCAGCTTCTAGCAAACAGGGCCTAGGGACACCATCCCTGCCCATCCTGGCTAATAGCCATTGATGGTCCTATCCTCCATGAATTTATCTAGTTCTTCTTTGAACCCTTTTATAGACTTGGCCTTCACAACATTCTGTGGCAAGGAATTCCAAAGGTTGACTGTGCACTGTGTGAAGATATACTTCCTTTTGTTTGTTTTATACCTGCTGCCTATTAATTGCATTTGGTGTCCCCTAGTTCTTGTGCAATGAGAAGGAGTAAACAACACTTCCTTATTGACTTTCTCCACATCAGTCATGATTTTACAGACCCCAATCATATCCCCCCCCCACCCCGTCATCTTTTCTCCAAGCTGAAAAGTCTCAATTTTATTAATCTCTTCTCATACGGAAGCCGTCCCATACCCCTAATCATTTTTGTTGCCCTTTTCTGAACCTTTTCCAATTCCAATATATATTTTTTGAGATGGAGCGAACACATCTGCACGCAGTATTCAAGGTGTGCGCGTACCATGGATTTATACAGAGGCAATATGATATTTTCTGACTTATTATCTCTCCCTTTCTTAATAATTCTCGACATTCTGTTCACCTTTTTGATGGCCGCTGCACTTTGAGTGGATGTTGTCAGAGAACTATCCACAATGACTCCCGGATCTCTCTTTCTTGAGTGGTAACAGCTAATTTAGACCCCGTCATTTTATATGTAGAGTTGGGATTATATTTTCCAATGCGAATTACTTTGCATTTATTAACACTGAATTTCATCTGCCATTTTGTTGCCCAGTCACCTAGTTTTGGGAAATCCCCTTTGTAACTCTTCACAGTCTGCCTGGGACTTGACTACCTTGAGTAGTTTTGTACCATCTGCAAATTTTGCCACCTCACTGTTTACCCCTTTTTCCAGACCATTTCTGAACATGTTGAACAGGACTGGTCCCAGCACGGACCCCTGGGGGACACCACTATTTACCTCTCTCCATTCTGAAAGCCATGAGGTGCCTGCGACACTTACAATGCAGACCACCGAGTAATTCTGTAAACAGGCCCCGGCTTTGTAAAACCCTGAACGAGGACCCAGAATCTTTTGCAATTTGTGGACAATTTCAGGGGGAAATTCTAGATTGACAGGATCCAACTGGGCTCGCTTTAAACCAGAGGCATTTAGCTAGGATCCCACCAGGAGCTCCATATGCACTGAATGTAACATACCACCCACCCACCCGGCTACCCTTGATGAACCCTGGGAACTCACACTATCACAGGACGACTAAGCAGTACACCAAGCTGTGGCCTCCAACACACACAGATCTCAGAGGCAAAAGCTAAGTTGCACACACACCATGACGGACCAGAACTCCCGGTCTCTATCTACAGAAATGCAGTCCTCTTCCAAAGAAAACACCATCCATCTCCTCTTCTCAGGCCTCCAGTCACCACCCTGTTCAGCCAGCAGAGGG